AAAAATATATGGTATTTTTAATATTCATAAATACACCCTCATAACTTTTAATATTTATAAATACACCCCCATAACTTTTAATATTTATAAATATGGCTCCATATCCGTATCCTACTTTTTTTGGTTTTGTCGTATCCTCGTACCCGTTTCCGCGTTTCCGCGTAAACGGTTGAGTTACGTTAGTGCTTGGCTTAGCAAATAAGTTGTGCTTTTAGTTAAACCATCCTCTTGATCGATAAAAACGTTGAGATCACAAGCGAACAACCCTAAAGTCTTATACATCTCATCTCAATTACATGTTTGATTGAAGGCTTCAAACTGTAGCATTCGATATTTCGAGGGATCTGATGACCCAAATGGATGACAATTGCTTCAGTTTAGATTATGTCATTATCTTAGTAAATAGTAACCTTAGAATTTAGTCCATATCTTAGCTACTCAAGTATTCTTATCCCTTTTATAGTTTACAGTTACAGAATCTTTGTTTAAGGCCCCCATATTATCTTACTCCATTGTGTTATCTTTTCATTTTAGCCCGTCGTTTAATAAAAGATGTGTGGGTCATAATCTTGTGTATATTTTTAGGCAACAATATGAAGTATACCATTTTCATTCTTTAAACTCCATGCTAAGAAAAAACATTAAGAACATTTTAAAGGAACGGAAAGAGAAGAGAGTAGTACTTCATGGATGTGAAATACTACCTCCGTCCCTTAAAAATTAGCCAAGTTTGACCGGCACGAGAATTAATAAAGTAAAAATTGTGTGGTTGAGATTTGTGCAGAGGAGAAAGGATTAACTGGAACCACAAATTCTTTGCTTAAAAGGGAAAGTGGCAAAGTTAGTGGGACATCCAAAAAAGGAAAGTTGACAAAGTTTTAAGGGACGAAGGAAGATATAAATAGTCTTTAACAAAAATTGAAAATGTATACTAGTATATGTTTTGATAAATGGTGACATGAGAAGTAGAGGGGAGTAGATGTATTGTGGTGGGATATGTCTCCTATACATTAACACATATACCTCGTCATGTTCTTAATTAACTTGACACTTTGACTTTACACATATTAAGGAAATAAATTTACTGAGGGATAAATTTTACTGTAAAACACTGTTGTGACACTGTTTTGGTGTAGGGTTTGTTTACCAAATAAAAAAATGTAAACTTGATTGGACATTCAAAAAAGGAAAGTGCAAAGTTAAATAAGAACGATATTTGTGTGCGGAGGGGAGGGCAATAATGATGAGGAAATAAAGGGCATAAAGGTATAGTAGAAGGTGGTCAACACGTACTATGGGTACAGTTAGTGTCCTTGCGAGAAGACAACAAGAATTGGAGCAGCATTAATTGTGCCTCATAAATCCGCAACAAAGCCAATGGATAAGTGGAAGACTGTTTTTTTCTGCCTTTGAATCATTTGTTCACTCAACATGCCATGAATCTCATATTCTCCAATATTGAGTAAATGAAAGTGAAAATGATGGATAATTCTTCATCAAAGCTGAGCTGCCAGCCTGCCACCACTACAGTAGTCTTTTGCTCAATTTATTGAGGAATAATATACGAATCCCGTCAATTGCGATGAGGGGTTACTATGCTAAAAATGCATAGGGCCTCTGCAAGTACCGGAGACAGAGCCCCACTCTCTATCTGTCAGATTGGGATTATAGTTCAATTTACATCCTCCCAACGTACCGTCCGATCGGAGGAATTATAGTCCAATTTACATCCTCCCAACGTACCGTCCGGTCGGGGTTGGGGGGCCGTCGGGGATGAGGTGTCATCCTTTTTTTAACTCAACCCAGATTTCTTTATTAATAACATTATTATACTACGTACGTACGGAGTATATTTTATTGCTGTACAAAACCTTTTTCAACATCTACAACCTTTCTACAGAGGTCCGAGTGTAGAAAGGGTGGACTAAACCGGCCCGGCCCGGTCTGGAACCGGCCCGGCCCGGTCTGGAACCGGCCCGATCCGGAACCGGCCCGACCCGCTACTGTGCGGGCCCAGACCGGACCGGGACCGGTTGGTCAGTTCCGGGCTTTTAGCCCGTTTGGGTGGGTAGGGCGGGTCGGGCTCGGGTCCAGTTTTGGGCGAACCGGTCCGGGCGATTCGGGCCGGGCCCGGGTCAATTTTTTTTCTCATTTTTTTTCTTTTCCTAGGGTAGGACTGAGTGTTTTGGGGAGGTTTGGGGGTGGGGGTGAGGGGGGGGGGGGGGTCGAAGGATAACAAGAAAGCAAAAAAAATAAAATAGACATTGAACCGGGCCCGGCCCGGCCCGGCCCGATTAAGCCCGGACCCGGTATCAACCCGGGCTGGTTCCGGGCTCAAGGATTTGCAAAAAAAGCCCGCCCCGGACCTGGCCCGGAACCGGAACCGGACCAGCCCGGGTCCATCCCTAGGTCCGACCTAGCTAGCTAGGGTGCCATGGTTTGGTGGATGGGCTCAATGGCTCATGGGCACCGTTTGTGGTCGCAACCCGCAATAATATATAGTCAACTCTACTCTGATCTTTTGTGCACATTTTTTACATTGACATCTATGTAAAAAGCTCATATCTATAAATTAAATGTGCTAGTAAATGTGACTAGTGTGCAAATCAAAGTTTAAATAGAATAATTCATGTATTCCAAAATAATTAATAAGTGTTACATTTCGACTTCTAACTTGTTTGAAGTTGCATTCTTTATACACCCAGGTTACATTATCCGTCACCTGAGATTACATGTGTAGCAACACAAGTTAGCACTGTTTGGAAATAAACTGGTTTGACCTACACATATTAAGGAAATAAACTTACCAGGAGGTAAATTTCACTGTTTTGACACTGTTTGGTACTGTTTAGCACTGTTTGACACTGTTTTGATGTAGATAACTTCCCATTTAAGAAAAAGGAAACTTCTTTTTGAGACTGCTAAAAAAGGAAAGCGAGAATTTCTTTGCGGGACGGAGGAGTACACAGTAGCAAAAACCGAAAGAAATTATGCAAGGAAAACTTTTAATTAGGGAACCATGCATGGTACGTATCGTAGGTCCAAATAAGGAACTTTACTTAAATTTATTCACTATTTTCTATATTACTATTATACTATTTCTATATAAATAAATAAATGACTTCAATTCTTAGTACGTGTAATTAAATAACGTTTGAAATATATACGTGGTACTACGTACTATTCTATATCATAGACTTGCCTAAATAGAAAATACATTATTACTAATACTAGTGTTTCTAAAAACTACTCGTACTATACGATGTATGTATTGGGTAAAAACAACTTTCTAGTTTACTATGCGTAGTACTCCCTCCGTCCCGTTAATAATGACACAAGAGGGAGTGACATGCAAATTAATTTAATAAAAAATTGTTTATGTCGTTGATATTGAATTGATAAAGTAACAATAAAGTAAGAATGATTTAGAGTAACACAAACTTTGCCAAATTTGATATGAGACAATCTTAGTGGGATGGATCGATAAAGTAAAACGGGACAATCATAGCGGGACATAGGTAGTAATACGTACTATTCTCTCCCATTGTTATAACTTTAATTAACATCTTTACTTTTTTGAATATTCCAAACATTTATCATTTTCAATTGTAATCAATGAATTTACACTTCATGTTAGTTCTTTATTTTCCGTACAACTCTCAACAACACAATTATTAATTTATTATCGATCATGTCAATCTTGACAAATTAAAGTAGGTAGAGATCAGGAGTCAATAAATACTCCGTAAATACTTGGTACTCCGTAAATAAAAGCCTTACGTGCACCTTATCTACCTACCTAACTAGCAAGCACAAAAGACAACGCCCGGTTAGCATTTTTGCGTTTTAAACTCGTTTTAAAAACGTACAATTTTTTTGAACAAAAAAAACGTTCAAAAAATAAAAATATTGTTAGTCCAATTTAAAAGGAAAAAACTCTTACTTCCCGTTCGAAACGTATTTTTCCCGTATTTTACAAAAAAAAAAGAAACATGAATTGATCAACTGAATGAACACATTAAATGCATATGAGATCAATAATAGTTTAAAAGTAAAAAAAAAAGCTTCTCACTCTGACTCCGTGTTTTTGTATTGTTACATTACAATTATTAAATACTAACATTAATTACATGACAGTTAGAACTAGCATACTAAAAGATTAAACTTAAAATACTACGGAGTACTATATTTCTAATGTTTTCCAAACAAGCATATCAAAATTAAAGTTTTTCTAAATCTGGTATTTTTTAGTACCACGTATAAACTTTTACACATAAACAATAATAAGCGTGTGTAGCAGCCGCACAACTATTCAAATATGTAATCCATCATCTTGATGAAAATGATGAGTTTAAATTGAGTTTTATTTCTTATTTTTGTATGAGTTATTTTGGAATAATTCATACAAAAAATGGAGTATGAATTATTCATTTATGTAGTAATGAGATATGCTACTTGAATATATGTATACTTTTATTTCTTTTTTTTATATATACTTCCTCCGTCTCTTTTTAGTTGCAACATTCCCTTTTTCACGTTTGTCAAAACACACAACTTTGACCGTCATTATATTTAATTTCGTATTAGTAAAAATAAAATAAAAACCAGATTATAAAACTTAGTAATGAGACGAATTTAACAATATTTTAAAAAAAAAAATAATTCACATACATTAACAATATTTAAATGTTGCAACTAATGTGATACAGAGGATATAGTATGTTATTTTGTGAAGTATATAATTTAAATGTTCAAAATAATACCCCATATTTTTGTCTGAATTTTTGTAATAGGTACCGTATTATACATACATACGTATTTTCACGTTTTTTAAAAGTCAACGTTTTTGTCAACGAATTTTTAACCGTTTTTTATTAATGTTACCGAATAAAACGCGTACGTATTATATCTCGTTTAATTCCGTACCATATTTAATTAACTATGACACAACAGACACATAATTCTCTTCTTCACCATCTATATATATCTGCCTATAAATTACAACTCCTCCTCCGATCCACCTGCGCTAATCCATCATACATATAATATAATTTACGCGCGACGGCCCTCGATCTGATCTATATATACACATATGGTTGCCGTCGGAGACAACAAGGACAATGTTGTCCTCCCGGAAATGAAGCTTGAAAAAATGCTTAGCATGAAAGGAGGCAAAGGAGAGGGCAGTTATGTCAACAATTGTGAGGCTCAGGTACGTAACAATCTATCTATCTAATTATATTCTACTCCGTATAGTATATAATAATTATTATAAACGTATATATATCGGTATATGGTTCATTAACTAATTATATTAGAAACTTTCATTTTTAATTTTTGTACTTGTATATATGTATTGAATAAATAAATTTATGTTATATGCAGGCAAAACATGCTCGATCAATGCTTCATCTGCTGAAAGAAACCCTAGACTTGGTCCAACTGAGCCCGCCCGCGCCCGGCGTCCCCTTCGTCATCGCCGATCTGGGGTGCTCCTGCGGCAGCAACACCGTCTACGTCACCGACGTGATCGTGAAGCACATCGCCGGGCGCTACGAGTCCTCCGGCGAGGACCCGCCGGAGTTCTCAGCTTTCTTCTCCGACCTGCCCTCCAACGACTTCAACACACTGTTCCAGCTGCTGCCGCCTCTGGCCAACAGCGGCATGGAGGAGTGCTTGGCGTCCGCCACCCAGCGCTCCTACTTCGCCGCCGGGGTGCCGGGGTCGTTCTACCGGCGCCTATTCCCGCAGAAGTCTGTGGACGTGTTCTACTCGGCGTTTTCCCTGCACTGGCTGTCCCAGGTACCGGAAGCGGTGGCGGACAGGCAGTCGGCGGCGTACAACAAGGGGAAGATCTTCATCCACGGCGCGAAGGAGAGCACCGCGAATGCGTACAAGAAGCAGTTCCAGAGCGACCTGGCGGTGTTCCTCAAGGCGAGGTCGCTGGAAATGAAGGGCGGCGGGTCGATGTTCTTGGTCTGCCTCGGCAGGACCTCCGTTGACCCCACTGACCAAGGTGGGGCCGGCCTTCTCTTCGGGACCCACTTCCAAGATGCTTGGGATGATCTTGTCCAGGAGGTAATTAACCAAACTTAAATGGTTCATAAACCACTAATTAATATTCTTCATACTCCGCATTCATATACAGAACCTTATTTTACGATTTGGACCTTGGAAGTTTGTCAGATTTTTATTTTTCAATTTTAAAGTACCACCCTTTCATTTACTCCGTGAAAGATAAGTGCTAGTTTGTAAGTACATTTATCCCGCTTTTCGTTAAAATATGACACAATAATTAAAAAATGATTACATTTGTTATGTTTTCAGAAACTATTTTGATGGATATTTATAATATAACGAGACCATTCGTGATAAATGTGATGTATAATTGTATACTTGATGATGATTAAGTTGTCATAAGAATAGTTAATACTCCCTCCCTCCCAATTTACTTAGTCATCTTTTACTTTTCCAGTCAAAGGTAATAAACTTTGACCAATTAATTAAACTAATATATGTATGCAAAATTTAATAATTTTATACTTTTATGATATTATTTTTAACAAAAAACATTTTCATATCATTTTCATATTATTAATATTTTCTCTATATAAACATATAATCGGTGAAAGTTAGACGTCATTGACTTGAAAAGTCAAATTTGGCCAAGTAAAATGGGACGGAGGGAGTACTTTTTTCGTCCCTTTTTATTTAGTCATTTTGATTTTCTGATGATAAACGGGACTCGATGGTAATTTGAGTTTGCACCCTATTTTATTGTACAAATTGAACTTTGCACCTCATTTTTAAAAAACTTTGTTTTCTTACCCCAACCTCATATGAACAGACAAAATTGCCCTTCCATCAACAATTTTGTTGACCTTCAACATTTTTAAAAAACTTGACCGTTTTTTTAAAAAACGAGATGCAAAGTCCAATTTGGTCAATAAAATGGGGTGCAAACTCAAATTAACCTAAACTTTAATCCATTATTTTAAGTTTATGTGAAAGTTAATAAATTTATACTTTTAATATAGTATATATAACAAAGAACATTTTAATACAATTTTGATATTATCAATGTTATCGTGTATAAGTATATAATCAGTCAAAGTTTAACATTATTGACTTGAAAAATAGTGTTTGACTACATAAAAGGAGACTGAGGGAGTAATACGCATTTCCTAAAATAGAAATTATTACGTAGAACGCTTGAAGTGTGTGGTCCAAAAGAGGTAAGTCATGAGAATTGAAGATGAACTAGTATTACGTGTAATATTTTTGTATGTATAAATTTATTTGATTCTTGATGTTTGTTTGAAATCAACAGAATCACGTTATTCAACATTAGCATCATCATAGTATAAAAGGAAAGAATGTTACGGTTTCTAATTTTATAGACGGACACTTAATAATATGATCTGTTTTGCCAAAAAAATGATCTGTAATTAAGGACTACTAATAAATAGGCCAGGCTGTGCGTTACGTTTTTTCTTGATCACAATCCGTAATCCGTACAAGCTAATTACTGTTATTGAATTATAATAATTAATTAATACTAATAGTAATTAAAGTTTCAATAAAATAAATCACGTTGACTAGCTAAAACATACGCACCGAGCCGGCCCGCAGGATTTCAATAAATTAAATCTCGATGTTTATATTGAATGTGATGTTAATTAATTGTGCGTCTATGCTAGCTATATAATGGAGTGATAATTAATTAATTAATGAATAATGACATTTGGGCAGGGATTAATTACAAGCGAGAAAAGAGACAAATTCAACATTCCAGTATACGCGCCGAGCCTGCAGGATTTCAAGGAGGTGGTCGAAGCCGAGGGGTCGTTCGGCGTGAACAAGCTGCAAGTGTTCCGGGGAGGGAGCCCGCTGGTGGTGAGCCACCCGGAGGACCCGGGCGAGGTGGGCCGAGCCTTGGCGAACAGCTGCCGGAGCGTGAGCGGCGTGCTCGTCGACGCCCACATCGGGGAGCAGCTCGGGGAGGAGCTCTTCTTGCGAGTGGCGCGCCGAGCCTCGAGCCACGCCACAGAGATCTTGGAGCAGCTCCAGTTTTTCCACATCGTGGCTTCTCTTTCTCTTGCGTCTCGTCGTCCATCGTAGGCGGCCGGATGGATTAATTAATTACCCGGAGTATTTATTTAATTGATTAATGTAATGACGATCGACGAGGATTTATTATTAATAATAATAATGTGATTTTTAATGAATGCATGGATTTAATTAATTAATGACGTAATTAGCAGCAAGAGTACGTACGTACTTGGTACGTAAATATAATTGAGCACATATATTAGTTTTGTCGTTTGGTGGGTCGTTGTGTTCTGTTTTGGTGGGTCGATGTTAATGATTTTGTTTGAACAACATGATACGTACGTATGTACTTGCCATCTACTTCACTGTCTCCAACTGGCAGTGGCTGTATGAGTCACAAGGATCATATGACTATCCCCCTCCATCTGTCTCCTCTTTTAATTCCTATTTTGACTTCAACTATTCCTTCCTTTTTCAGATAATAAATTTAAAACAAAAAATATTTTCAGCGTCTTTTATTATAATTAAAGCGAGAGGATATACTCCCTCCGGTTCTTATTAAAGTTCTCACTTTCCTTTTTGGGATGTCCCTTATTTAAGTTCACACTTCCATTTTAGGAAACAAAACAGTGCAAAACAGTGTCCAAACAGTGCCAAACAGTGCACTCCACAGTAAAGTCAAATTCATTTTCCTAATATGTGTGAAGTCAAACTAAGAACTTAAATAAGAACCGGAGGAAGTAGTTTTTTAGCGTTTTTGTCGTTTTTAGTCCACCGCTTATTATCTCACTTTCAATTTTGATGCTACACTTTAGTTTTTTCATTTTAATCCTTGACTATTATTCTAGAAATATTTTTGGTATCCGTTTTTATAAATTTCCATATTTAATCTTTCGACTTTAATAAATGTGACGTTTTTGGTCATTCAACTATTATAATAATGACATTTTATTCATCCGTTTATTGTTTCAAAATCACCGTGAAAGTACTAAAAGTGTCAATTTGATAATACTCAGGGGACTATAAAAGGAAAAAGTTATTTTCTAAAATAGGTGTTTGGCAAAGTTAAACAGGCAAAGTCAATTCAAAAACATAAAGAACGATGGGTAACTATTTACCAAACACCTCCAACATGTTTTCACATTATTATACTCCCTCCGTCCCTAAAAGAACTTCCAACTTTCCCTTTTCGTTCGTCTCAAAAAGAACTTCATCTTCCCTTTTTGACAAAGAAATTGTGATTCACAGCAATTCTTAGACATTCTTACACATTTCTCCTTCCTCTGCACAACTCTTCACCACACAATTCTCACTTTCTTAATCCGTGTGTCATTTGTACTACGGAAGAAGATTTAGGGATGGAGGGAGTAATAAGCTCATACTAATCTAACTTGTCTAAGAAGGCTGGTGGAAAATGAGATTTTAGTTCTTTAATATTTTAGCTTTTAACTCGGTCGACAAATTCCGTTTTTGTTGATCAAAATGTATAACCGGTGGGCATAGCTCAACTGGTAGCCAGGAAGTGTCACAAAGGTTAAGTCTCGGGTTCAAATGTCGGCAACTGCGATGAAATGTTACTATGCTGAAATGCATAGGGCCCCTGCAAGTATTGAGGATATAGTCTCACTCTCTATTTGTCAAATTGTAATTATAATTCAATTTACATCCTCTCAACTTACCGTCCGGTCGGTGTTGGGGGATCATCACGGATGGGGTGTCATCTTGTTTTTGTTGATCAAAATGTATACGGAGAATTATTTATTTATGTTGAATAAGCAATGGGACGACGCCTATCTGATCACACACAACAAACAATAAGCACACAAGTCACAAGGCACTTTGACTTGGGAATGATACAACTACAATAATTCTGCACCTTATATTAGAGGCTACGACGTACCCATAGCTAACTAAACTGCCCGTCTCAATAGGGACAAAAGGCTCTCAAATAAAGGAAAAAATAAAATTGCTAGGATCGATTGAACTTCTGACCTTAGTTGACATCCAATTAACACTGTTTTCTTGTCGCCAATAGATGCACTTTAAAAAGCTGTACTATATCACTTTCATGAACATTTTACTCGCAAAGAAACGTGTGATAAAGATTATTCAGTAGAATTAATTAGGGCCATTTTCTAATTCAGACTTTAAGACTGTGAAATAATGGGAAGCCTTGACATATATTTATAATAGAAGAGTTACCAAAATAAAAAGTATTTCTAAATATATATTAGGTAGTTTCTGTTGGGTTTCGGGCAGAAAAACGCAGCGGAATAAACAAAAAAAATACTGTCCAAAAGTAAACAACCGGATCTGAGGTTCTTACTATAAACGAAATTACAAGATATAAAAGGGACTTACATAGCAATCTTAATCAAAGATGTCAGACAGTCCGAGAAAACGATCCCGAGCTCTACCGGTATCCACACGCACGTGATTGGATCGGCCGCAGAGAACGTGCTAGCGTTCTCTTCTTTCTTCCTCTCTACTCTAGGTTTTAGAAGTGAATTTTAACTCTTAAAATTCGTGGGTCTATATAGCCCTATTTATAAGAGGAGGAAAGAAGGAGTTTTATAGCTAATAAAACCCTCCAAGAGGCCCTAGTCCAATACCATTCGAAACCCTATTTCGAATTGGGCTAATCAGACTATTTTAATGTTATTAACGAACATTAATGATCCAAATCACTTAGGTGTGTGACCCTGTAGGTTTATATATTATTGGCAGTGGGCTAAAAAATTAATTCAAGCCTCACAAATCATAAGCGGCCTCTAGCAAGGCATTATGACTATCCAAAATATATAAATGTCAATTAAATCTGACATAACCTTTTAATGATTAATTTGTGCTAATAATTCTCTTTTGTAAAACGATATCTTAATTGAGACAAGGTTAGGTCATGTCATCCTTGTTATTCTCAATTAATATTTCTTGATTACCAAGTAAGATTAATTTTGAACAAATGACACCTCATTTGAGCATGGCCATGCTAATTAATCTTACTTGTCAAGGGGCCCAATAGATATCTTTCTCTCGCTATACGAGAGTGACAAAAACTATCTTGATAATTCACATACCACTACATGGTTCATAATATGTACAATCACCACCTTTATAATTACTCATTTAAAAATAATATTTAATGGTGTTAATACATATTAATTCACATGCAAGTAACCATGATTATCTCAAGTATAAGAATATATCACCTCATCATTATTGAGGACAACACTGATGACATATAACCTAGCAGTGTCCTCAAGTTGGGTCTGTCCAATGAACCTTTTCACTAACAAGCATCTATGTTATTAACTTGATATCTCTATACCCATGACTAGTGGAATATAGCCATCAGTTAATCCACATAATGGTCTATTAATTATTAATGTCCCAGATTAATAATATTAGACCATGGACAATTAGAATATTATGCTTATTTTAAAGTGTAGCATTCCAAAATTAACTTGATATCTCTATACCTGAGTACATGCTTTGATTTCTGGTGTGATCTAGGTTCCTTGGCTTGTGCAATGGCTCCATTGATATCACAATATAAGTCCATTGGTCCAACAATACTAGGAACGACACCGAGCTCAATAATGAATTTCCTTATCCATACTGCTTCTTTTGCTGCTTCTGAAGCAGCAATGTACTCCGCTTCTGTTGTAGAATCAGCCACCGTGTCTTGTTTAGAACTCTTCCAGCTCACTGCTCCGCCATTAAGGCAAAACACAAATCCTGACTATGATCTAAAATCATCCCTATCGGATTGGAACCCAGCATCTGTGTAACCATTTACAATGAGCTGATCTTCACCACCATAGACCAAGAATACATCCTTAGTTCTTCTCAAGTACTTTAGAATATTCTTCACCGCTATCCAGTGACTATCACCTGGATCTGACTGATATCTACTAGTCATGCTTAGAGCGCAAGCTACATCAGGGCGAGTACATAACATAGCATACATGATAGAACCTATAACAGAAGCATAAGGGACTCTATTCATTCGATCTCGCTCATCTTGTGTTTGTGGACACTGAGTCTTGCTGAGATGTGTGCCATGTGACATAGACAAGAACCCTCTCTTGGAATCTTGCATATTGAACCTATGTAGGACATTGTCAATGTAGTTACTTTGACTTAGTCCTATTAGCTTTCTAGATCTATCTCTATAGATCTTGATCCCTAACACATAGGATGCATCACCCAAGTCTTTCATTGAGAAACACTTTCCAAGTCATGCCTTTACAGACGAAAGCATCGGAACATCATTCCCAATGAGAAGTATGTCATCTACATATAGGACTAGGAAAGTGATTGCACTTCCACTCAATTTCTTGTAAACACAAGGTTCCTCTTCGTTTTGATTGAAACCAAACTCTTTGATTGCAGCATCAAAACGAAGATTCCAACTCCGAGATGCTTGCTTCAGACCATATATTGATGTTTTGAGCTCGCATACCTTCCCGGCATTGATTGGATGTTCAAAACCCTCAGGTTGTATCATATACACGTCCTCATCTAGATTTCCATTTAGGAAAGCAGTTTTGACATCCATTTGCCAAATCTCATAATCAAAATGAGCGGCAATTGCTAAGAAAATCCGAATTGATTTAAGCATGGCAACTGGCGAGAATGTTTCATCATAGTCTATACCATGAATTTGTTTGTAACCTTTCGCCACTAAATGTGCTTTATAGACATCTACATTGCCATCTTTGTCTAATTTCTTTTTGTAGATCCGTTTGCACCCAATGGTTCTACAACCATCAGGTAGATCAACTAAGTCCCAGACTTGATTGTCGACCATGGATCTCATTTCGGATTTCATGGCTTCTAGCCATTTATCGGAGTGAGGGCTCGATATTGCTTCTTGGTAGGTCAAAGTTTCATCTTCGTCTATTAATAATACGTCACGATGCTCTGTTAAGATAAACATGTATCTAACTGGCTCGTTACGTACCCTAGATGACCTCCTTGGAGCGAGTGCTACCTCAGGTGTATCCACAACAACTTTTGGCTGAGATTGTGGGACTGCTTGCATAGTCTGACTATCTAGAACTTCTTGAATTTCTTCAAGCTGTATTTTACTCCCACTGGTTCTTTCAGAAAGAAATTCTCTTTCTAAGAAAATATCATTACGAGCAACAAACACTTTGTTCTCTGATGGGTTGTAAAAGTAATATCCTTTTGTTTCCTTAGGAT